TCCGGGTTCCTATCTGCCCGAAGGCTGAGAGTTCGACTGTCTAGCTGAAAAGATTTCAGCTAGTCGGTATTTACTAGCCCACCCCCACGAGGGTAGATGTGGCACAAGGCCTAGTTTTACGTGGGTTATACGAAAAAAGATATCGGATAGTCTCTGTAATCCATTGACTTACAGATACTTATAGGTAGTTACTACCTATAGTGTAGCCACTCATGGGAGTGACAGGTTATTCCATTACATTAGATAGATAGATAGATAGATAGATAGATATGATCAGACTGAAATAGAAGAAAAAACTGAAGTAGATAAATTAGATATATATATGTGAATAGAATGAGATCGACAGATATGAACAAAATGAGATAGATGGATATGAATAGAATGAGATATATATCAACAGAATGAGATAGATAGATAGATAGATAGATAGATAGATAGATAGATAGATAGATAGATAGATAGATAGATATTATTGTATTCTCTAAGTTCGCGCAACGTGATGTTTAGGGAGATGAAAATTCATTCATTCATTCATTCATATTGATTGACGACTGAATGTAGAATTTATTGATCATTCCAAAGATACTAATACAAAGACGAAAGACTTACAGATTAGAAAGGTCGAGGAGAACAGACGTCATGTTTGAATGACATCATATTAAGGAATTCTGTTGGGAATGGTCTACGCAAAAACAGTAGATTGAGTTTTGCAGGGAAAAGATTTAGACAGGTAAATTCAAGTTATCTGAAATACCACCACCCCAACCCAGAATGTAACTGGAAATGAAAAAAGAAAGTTCAATATGCAGGTTCCATTAAATTGTTATTTAGAAAAAGGACTTAATTTTTTTTTCTGTTGCACGCAGAATGAAGACATTTATTTGGAGACAGTCTCACGTATGAATCGAATCAAGTTGAAATTCAAAGTGTTAATCGTATGAGTAATGGCAACGTTGAAATTTAGGCTTGGAATTATCAAATATATATCTGCCTTCTAATTTGTATAAGACAAAAAAACTATTGAGCCTAACTTTATTAGTAAGGATTTACTGAAAATCTTGAATTCACAAGCAGCGACAGTTGGCAGTAAAAGAGTTTCTACAGAAGATAAAACCAGACGACAACGAAAAAAAAAAATTAATATCAGTCGGAAGATTAATGTGTCAAATCGTTTCTTTACAAAATTTGACCGCCATTTTAACGTCAAAATTCATTTCAGGAAACAAAAATAAAAACAATGACAACGACAAGAAAGAATTTTGTTTAAAAAAAATTCAAATGTAACAAACAAAAATAAAAAAAAAATATTCTTTTAATATTTTAAATTCTCTAATACGAAATAAAGATGTTGGACACAGCAGACTGTGGCAAGTAAATAATGTGTCTGTATGACAAATGATGTGTGTCGGAAAAAATTACATTTAAATATTCCCGACCTACATAATATGTTATAAACGAAAGATGCCAAGAGACATTCTCAAATTTATTTATTTATTTATTTATGTATGTATGTATGTATGTATGTATGTATGTATGTATGTATGTATGTATGTATGTATGGGCACGTGGCCGAGTGCCCATACTTACATACGTACGCATTCTAACCATGAGTCCCGGGTTCGAATCTCACCATGGACTTTTTGTCAGAGACTCCTTGATGTTATGGGGCTGGCGTGCGGCACCTGAAAACCATACCAAGCATTGTGAGTGAAATTGGGTAGACAGAACCCTCATCGTGATCGAAGGTTCGAGGGTGCTGGCCTTGTTCAAATTCTTGACCACGTTAGATAACACGCTCTTTCCCAGAAACTGCTCAGCATAGTTGCTGTATAAACCAAAGTTGGGCTCTGTGCGTGTTGAATAAACACAAATGCGCCTGAGCAAGCGTCTGCAGTAGGGATTGGCTAACCGCCGTAGTATCCTCGAATACGAGTGGCCAGCTATGTATGTATGTGTAGAGACGAGGTTACCAATATTGTAGTGGGTTGTCACCATTATGTAAGGGTGTGTACTACATTTAACTTTGGCTAGGAAAAGCGGGATTAAGGACAATGCGTGGACGCAATGCAATTTATATTTGACGTAAAATAGCACATAGTATAAAATACAAAGCTGAACGGAATGATTCAAAAACATAACAATTGAATTTATTAGTGTTTGGTGTACAAGCATATAAGCTGAAGGTGTGATAGAGTTATGTCTTTTAGATTTGGAAATATTTGTACTTGAGCTCATAAAGAAGTAATTATTAAACTGTAGTTTAGAAGAATAAAGTTTCTTTAGCATGTTTGGAATTGTGGATTGGTAAAGTTGGTAAGAGTTCAGAAGAGATTTTAGAGTTCGTGCTTGCGTGAAATGGTAATGTTCTTTAACGTCTGACAGCAATGTCAAAACGGGAGTTCTTGAAGATTACATCTTGGCAGCAAGGAATGAGACGCGAGAGAGAGAGAGAAACACTCGTGTTTGGTTTTTATAATTTTTTGTACCACGTGACAGGCTCCGACAGAGTTGGCGCCAAAATAGATCTGTAATTTAAAGGATTTGATTGGTCGAAACTGACCAATCAGCAAGCTAGATTGAAGGTGATTAACCAGTGAATGCTTGTTATATATTTTGTAAGATGGTGGTGGTGAAAGTCACAACAGGAATAGTGCATTTTCTAACAGGGGTTAACTGGCTGTTGTGGAAGATTCCACGTATGTATGTATGTGTGTGTGTGTGTATATGCATGATAGGATAATGAAAAAATAGAAAATGTTTATAAATTTAACATGTTTCGCTTTTATTTAAGCTTCATCAGAAACTTTGGGGAAATAAATTATGTACTTTTATTTCTGTGTCGTTTGTTCTTCATTGGCCAGGCAGACCTAAGGTATTAATATGCGTGTGTTTGCGTGTATGCTCGCCTGGATCGCCTGGTCATTTCGTGTCATCGGCTGGTGTCCGTGTTTGTGTATAATTCCTGAAGAGGGTGTAGTGGAATGTTGGAGCACGCCTGTGTGTGTGTGTATGTATCAGATTTCCTAATTGGCCCTACAGGATTTGGGGTGATAATGTGTGTGCGTGTGTGTGTGTGTGCCTATGTGGAGGTGGGGGAGCATTTTTGTTTCTGTCTGGTAGTGCCCGAATCTAAAATGGGGGATGTTTGATATGGGAGTGGAAGACTTAGGTTGCGTCGGCCGCAGATATCCACATTTTGGATATCTTTAAGTAGGGGTTTTATGAAAATTGGCGGTATGAAAAAGTGCGTTCGGTATTTATCGATTGTATTTATCGATTGCTTCTAAATATTTACTTCGTACTAAAACATGTTCCTTTATTATTAAAGCGGCAGTTATTTAAATCGAAGTTACGGCCTGTTTAATTTCTGCAAGAAAGTTCAGTGAGTAGGTCTCTCTCCCTTATGTTTGTAGATGCAGGCTTTTAAGTTTCTGGAAGTTTCGTCTATAAGGTTCTTCTGACATGGCAGGCATTTAATATTCTATATCCCGGTATTTTGATATGGTGTGGATTCTACTTTCTTTTTTTTTTTTTTTTTTTTTGCTAACTAGATCTCTAATTGTCTTCGAGGTTATGATCCTAATTGTTGAGATGTTGAGAGTTTTCCCGCGTGTGGGTGTACGAATCAAGACAAACACAGTTGTAGAGGAAAATACTAGTATATTTGTAAAAACAATTAACAATAGAGTGATTAGTAAAACGAAGGTTGGTTAGTACGAAACAATATTCAAAGTCTATAGTCCAACGGTATGTAACGGGGAAACCTTATCTGGACTGCTGACGCTCCCCATGTCCTCTCTCTAGAGCTGACTTATATAAGAGGGACCAGTCCATTTCTAGTTAGAAGGTGGGTGCGCCCCAACACTAATAATAATCCTAGTTTCAGGGATGACTAATTGGTTCTCGAATTTTGTCATTAGGATTATAAATTTTGTCTTTTTGTTGTCAGGTGTGCCAACATTTTTGGATTTATGCGTCTTGCATGCTCGTTCCCAAGCGTTGAGGATGAAATGATGTGGGTAGTGAAGAAGTCTTAACGCTTTTTTTTCCAAATGTATTTCTCTTCTCCATCTACGAATCCTGGGCTGCATGTCTGTATATATGCATGTATCTACACGTGTATGGGCACGTGGCCGAGTGGTTAGAACGTTGGCATTTTGATCATGAGACCCGAGTTCGAATGTCACCATGGTCGATTTATCAATATGTTATCAGACTTGAGGGATCGATCCCAGCGTGCGACACCTTTGGACAGGGCCTACGGGTTGACCCAAACCTTGTGAGTGAAATTGGGAAGACGGAACCCTTGGGGGCCGTGGATAGCTGTGCTACCACAAGGGAGCACGCTGGCCTTGTTTAAATTGTTGATCACGCTAGATAACACGCTATCTCCCATAAACCGTAACTAAGGTCTGTTCAGTATAGTTGCAGTATCAACTAGAGAGCAGGCGTCTGCAATAGGGATTGGTTTGCCGCTCTAGTAAACGGGTATCCTCGAATACAAGTGGACATCTATTATCTACACGCTAGTGCCTGTTGCTTTGCGAAATGTGCATGACATGCTTCCGTTCATATCTAAGAGTGTAGACCAAATACCCTTTTCATATTTCGCATACATAGCCTAAAATATATCCGCTTAAAACTATAAAAAGAAAAATTACTTTCCTGTAAAGAAAGTAGTTTTTAAATTGAATTAAATTCTCTGGACATAAAGTTGGGGATTCGTTTTGTATTGTTGGTATGAAAAAAATAATCGTGGTCACTTTTTAAAAAGTATTAAAATAATTTAAGTAAATTTAAATAACTTCTTTGAAGTAAAAATGGGTAAAAATTTGGCTGTAAAAAAATCACCAGCTTAGAACGAGGTCTTGATATATATACATATATTTTTCTATCACAGGCAGTACGAAGAGATTACAAAGTAGGCTCTAGGCTGTCTTTAATTATATATTTTTAATGCGAATTTTTAAATCTAGAATTAACATTGCTTCAGTCTTACGAGTATACCACATTAAAATACCGGTTCCCATACGATCACAGAAGTTAAGCAACATTGAGCCTTGTCAGTACCTAGATGGGTTACCGTTTGGAAATACCAGATGCCGTAAGTTTGGATGTGCGGGTGGTGTAGTGGATAATGGTTCGTATTGTTCATCGGAGAGCCGTGGTCTAAATCCAGTTAGCTTTGTTGTATTCACTTACGCCCAAATATCCTTGCGAAAGATATGAACCTACCTCTTCTCCCCAAGCTACGGGTTAAATAGTAAGACTATCACTAAATCATTATTATCTAAAAAAAAATTCTTAGAATCTAAAAATATTTTCTGACTTTATATAATCTGCAAATGGTTGATGAGCCGTTGAAAACGAATCAATCGATTATCAATCGATCATCAGCACTATTTGATGTCTACCAACCGAAAAATTTAAACTATAATTAAAAAGAAAAAACCTTGCCAAAATGAAGTAGCGCTTATAGCAAAAGAATCTGACAAAAATTAGTTAATAAATGATTACTATAATAATATACTATCATATAATTATTATATATAATGATACTTAACTGAAGCTTGAAAAAATATGGCTTTTTATTTCAAAATTTAAAATTGCAGTTGAGAAGTATAACTTGGGCCAGCTTTTCTTTGCCCTATTTAATGTAATCCTGTTTAAATTGATGCGCATTTTTGTGCTGAAGGTTAGTATGGATGATCAGAAGTGAACAAAAAAACAAAAATAAACCTAATATAACCTACAATGAGAAAAGTCTATTCCCAACATTAAAATCACGTCCATATGAGGAAAAATACTCTAGTCTATAAAGACTGATAATGCTTCATCTAATAAGATAATAATTGCTTCAAAATATTTTGGATCACTTTGTGAATTTCTATTTCAGTGGATCCGATGTTTGAAATAGAAGCTGCGACAAAAATTTAGAGGCATGTGTACACTCTCGTGTACGTATGATAGCACTGATGTATATAGTATATGTCTATAGTCGTGTTTACCACTCTATGGCTATTATGACCAATGACAATGTCATTCTCCCGCCACTTACCGTATAAATGTGACTGTGAATATATAACTATTCATCGGGGGCATAACACACGCGCACATACACACAAACTAACATAGGTTTACACATACACAGACACACACATTTATATATATATATATATATATATATATATATATATATATATATATATATATATATATAAGTTGTTTTGACGGTGCAACACTTAAAGGCGACAGGATGATTTCATCTAGAATGAACAATCTGTCAGGTCTATTGTTGTCTAGCATAATATTCACTTTTATATTTACACACCTTCTATCTCTGATATTGAGCACTTTATCCCATAAATATAATACACCTTAAGAGTATATTTCTTCATATATATATATATATGTGCGTGTGTGTGTGTGTGTGTGTGTGTGTGTGTGCGCGCGTGTACGAGTAGTGGATAGCGGCTCGGATGGAGGAACCGGAGAGTCGAGTTCGAATTCCAGTCGAACCCATTGCATTCACTTACGTGCTAATACCATTGAGAAAGATATTAATTCTCTTCTTCTCCTTCTAGCTATGGGTAAATAGCAGGGCAGACTGGGTTCTATAGACTTGCAAGGAAAACTCTGAATTCAAAACTTGCGCAGGGTTGTTTGGGACACCAGATCTCTGTATTCGGCCCTTCAAAAAGTGTGGTTGGTTCTGCACAAAGCCTTCACCACTATAATCAAATCATATGTGATGGTGCCTGGCTGTCAGTTCCTAGGAACTGAGCTGATTAACCCTCATACCTCGAATACGACGGGAGAGTCCACCATATATATAAGAATAGTAAACATAAATTAATGGAAAAATACTAAAGCAACAATCATTTGGTTCAATAACATTAGTAACAAACAAAACTGACCTTCACACAACTAAACATATTAATCTATTAATGAACATACACCAAACAACGCATTGAAGTTAACAAAACAATGCATCAATATCTCCATTGAAGACATATATATAATTAAGCTTCCGAAAAACGATATTATACGACAATTAAAAAAAATGAACAAAAAAGGGCCAAAATAATAACAATAATGATGATAATAATAATAAGTTTGATGTAACAATGGGTAGCTATTATGGCGTAAAATATGCGGACTCATAGGCATATATATATAATCAATAAATTAACAAATATTATTAACAAAAAGATATAGGTCTATACAGGGACGACGGTCTATTAATTCGAAGAAACTGCAACGGTAGTACTACAGAAAAAATAAAACAAGAAAAAATAAAAACTTTCAAAACCCTAGGATTTACAATAGATATAAAATCAAATAAAAAAATAGTAAATTTCTTAGATATAGCATTCAACCTAAACAACGGAATCTACAAACCAAGCCACAACTCAATATACATTAACAAAAATTTTAACCACCTACTAATGTATTTAAACAAATACAAATAATAAAATTTAGTTACCCCCGCCATCAATACAATAAAAAAGAGACAAATTTTCTTCAAAATAATTGACACTTCCCTAATAACAGAAAATTATCAGAAAATTATCAACAAAAGTACAATGAAAATTAGTTACAGCTGCATAGATAACATGGAGAAAATAATAATTAAGAACGATAAAAATACTCAACAAAAACAATAACCGTTACAACAATAAGAATAGCAAAATAGCACCATTAAATGTAACTGCAGAAACATAGAAAATTCCCCACTTAACAGTAAATGCTTAACCAATAACATAATATACAAAGCCATCGTAAATAATAACATTAGCACAAAGGAAAACATTTAAATAGGGAAAACTGAAAAAAATTTTAAAAAAAGTTATTATAACCACAAAATGTCATTCGAAAGAAAATATACACGAACAATACAACCCTATCAAAATACATATGGAGCAAAAATTGTAAATTATGCTTGGAGAAAAAATTGGCAATAATTGCTTCAAAAACCGAAATAAATTATTATACAAGAAAACTGAAATAATGCATAAGTGTAGGCATATAAATAGATATTTACTTTGCCATCTAAGCACTAACTAAAAATAAACAAATGAATATAAATATAAACATTAAATAAAAAATAAAATTACAGAAAATATAATATAAACTTTAAATAAATAAAAGAAACAAATATAATATAAACTTAATTTATTAATAAACAAATAAACGAACAAATATTAAAGTACACAGGTAAGCGTGTGTGTGTACATGCGCATGTGAACATGTACACACACACAAACACCAAAAATGAACAGGCCTAACCCTATGATTAATACCTCGATATATAACACAAAGGCAAAACAAATAAACCATTAGATAAAATGAAACATTAAATAAAGATTAACGATAACATATGATACAAGCATACACTTAATTTAATTACATACACTATTTAACAATTACATATACGTGCCTGTGTTCGGTACGTATGTAAGTGTGCGAGACTATCTATGATATATGTGTATATATAGATATATATATATATGTGTATATATATATATGTGTGTGTGTGTGTATTTATATGTATATATATATATGTATATATATGCATATATATGTATATATGTATTAAAAAAATGTATATTTATATGTATCTATATATATATATATATGTGTATATGTATATATATATAGATATACGGATATATATATATATATATATATGTAAATATATATGTATGTATATATATATATATGTATAATATATATACATATATACATATATTCTGCATATGTATATATATGTATATATCTGCATATGTATATATATGTATATATATGTGTATACAATATGTATAAATAGTATATATAGTTATATATATATATGTATATATGTGTATATAATTATATATATGTATATATATGTATATTTATATGTTTATATATACATGTATTTATATATGTATATATATGTATATATATATATGTGTGTCGATATTGTGTATATATATGTATATATATGTATATATATTTATATATCAACATCATATATATATGTATAATAAAAAAATTTATTTAAAAAATTATACCTCCTACACCATCTATGATACTAGTTTACCGTAACAAAATAGACTTATGTGAACATATATATACGTTATATGTCTGTGTGAAAATATGTATGTATATATATGCCTATATACCATTTAAGAACAGACATCATTGGTATATATATATATATATAATTACAAACATATGCACATAAATTCTAACAATAATAAATGAATTTAATTATAAATCTATGCTCTTATGATATCACCAAACACAAATGAAAAACAAAATAATAGCCCTTTGAGCATATATAAATATGCATATGTGTGCATGTATTTATATGTCTATATGTGTGTTTGTGTATATGTGTATGTATTATATGTTCAGATATATGATTGCATATGTATTTATATCTTGGCATTAACATCATTAGCATCATATATATATATATATATATATATATATATATATATATATATATATTGCCCTACAAGAAATACCAGTTATTTATATAAAAACGTAACTAAGCGAAATACAACTTCCTTAGCAAAATAAAATGCTCACGAATAAAAATTCATAAAGAAATAAACATAGGTCACATGTCTGGAGCCGGAACAAGCCTAAATTAAGTCTTCTAGAGATGAAAAAAAGGGGAAAATGCTAAAATGAGTAAGCATCAAAAATAGAAGAAAAAGGCAAAATGATCACGACGCACATCCGTGTAAACAAAACTAAAATGCACAAAATAATTAAAAAACAGAGAATACAGAAGAAAACTTCCACCAGTGTTAAATGTAGATAAAAAGAAAAAATCGAAAAAATATAAGCAGTAAATTGTGGATACCCCCTCAAATGTGGACGGACAGACCCATCAACGAAACTTTAGAGTCGGGCTAATGAAGGGAACATCAATCAGCTAAAGTGACAATTTATATATATATATATATAATTTGTCAGATATATATATATATATATATATATATATATATATATATATATTATATTATATATATATATATGCAGGTTATCCAACATCAATATTGAACAAATATTTCTTAAAGTTAATATCTTAAACTTCCGTTAATTTTTTTTTTCGTTTGATTCCTGGAAGAATTTCTGAATCCATTCATTTTTATGAAATCGCGAGGTCTGACGAAGCGAAATAGAATTCTCGACTTTGCGAAATAAACTATTACCATGGCTTTCTAAAGTCTCCGATTTGTTAATTAATTATCACTTTTGAGCTCTCGGGATTTATATCCTCCTGGAATTTCATTGGATTAGACAAATAACTTTTCATATATAATATATATATATATATATATATATATATATATATATATATATATATATATATGTGTGTGTGTGTGTGTGTGTGTGTGTGTGTGAAACAAAGCGAAAATATATTAGCAATTATTGTTGTCACGAAAATTAGGGAAAAAAAAACACTATGGACAATTTATCCACAGCGCTCAGTCCCCAGAAAGGAAAAATTCTTTCACAAAGAAAATGAAAAAAACGTTCATAAAACATTGGATAATGTTCAAATTCTATTTAAATAATAAATCGTATACATATATATAAATATATATATATATATATACCAGTTACAAATGAGAACAAATGAAGTATAATTTCACTGTACGCAACATTTTATTCAAAAGAGGGCTCAATACAGAGTAGAGCTAAATATTATTTATTTAAGGATCTTAAAACATGTTTAAAATCACTACATAATGGCAATTATTTTTCGACACCATAAATGTGTCTCCTCGGCGATGTTGAACTACTCTGGCAGGTATTTGAGAGCACACATTTAACTTAGGTGGCCATAAATAGAAAACCTCCAAACGTAATGTTACGCTGCATTAGACAATTTCTAACTTACTATTCCAGACATATCAGGAGAATTGACATGGTTGCTTCCTGTCTGGCATAGGATAAGAAAAGTTAAACCGTTCTTCTGGTATTCGCCGTTAACCACAGCGACTCGGTGATCGGAACATTCACAGATGTCCTGGGACTCGTGCGTCATGAAAGCCATGATGTGACACGCCACTTTTTCCTCGTAGAACTTCAGAGTCAATGCTATTGCCTACAACAAGGTGCTAGATACGGTGGACATGCCTTGTATCAAGTGATCGGACGTGTTTCGGTATGACTGTGGTCCCGACAATACGACCTATGCTATATAACTGGTTGAGAATTTTTATGAGCATGTGCCTCCGAAAATGTGACCTACCCCTCCCGATCCGAATTCTCTGGCCTGCTGGAACCAAGCAGAGTCTCAGCAATATCAAGGTATCATTGGAAGCCGCCATTATGAACATGGTGTCCGACATCAATAAGAATCAACGGATCTGGACAAGGCAGTCATTTTCGAGGCAAATTCGCGGTTAGCCTCTAGTTTGAAGGCACTTTTATCGAATAACTTTTTTTCTGTTCTTCTAAGTTAAACTTGTGTGCATTTTCTTTTAACTATCTTGTTTTTTTTTCTTCTGTTGACTATCTTTTACTTCATACTACTTGTTCTCAATTACCTGGCATACACTGTATGCATGTGTGTGATGCGTAATTGTGTGGTGTGTGTTGATCTTCATGGATAGATATCAGTTTTCTCTATTGCTTGTTGTTTTGGAGGCCATAGTTAAAAGTATATTATGTAGGAACACGTGCCGATCGATATCAGAAAAGCAACCTCCCGACCTGAAGCCACACGTGTAACCAAAAACGCCATGTTTTGTTTATTTTGCCGCCTCTAATGAGATTAACGCAGTGTCGTAATTATGCTCAGAATGAAACGAACGACTTTACTTCGACTACTTCGACGATTAATTTACACTGGCCATGGGCGAGAATGGTAAGGTGGAATCGAAAGAGAACAATCTGTGTCTGTGTGTGTGTGTGTGTGAAAGAGGGTGAGAAAGAGTGAGAGAGAAAGGGAGAGAAGACGAAAAGAGTGAGAGAAGGAAATTAAAAGAAATGTTCTCTCTGTCAGTCATAAACGACTTAGTAGACAGCCCAGGGAACAAGATTGGATCTATCATTGGGACTTATTGTTTTTAAAAAATCTCCATAGAATGAACCAGAACTAGATAGTCGACAATTTTATGATGAACCATATATATATATCAATATATATATATATATATATATATATATATATATATATATATATATATATATATATATAGATAGAGAGAGAGAGAGAGAGAGAGAGAAAGAAAGAGAGTAATTTATATATTTTACAAGAAAAAACAAATAGACAAATTTAAACCAGCACTAAACAAATAAGACCACACACATAAACACACACCATAAAAACATTGTGGCAAAACACACTAGTCGGACCTCACACACACACACACACACCATACAAAATGCGTGTATTGACTATATGGGTTTCCTTATAATAATATACAATATATATGTATGTAAAACGAATATTTACACGCATACTGGCAAAAACAAAAAAACTAGACGGATCAAGCGCGTACACAGACACACACACGAACCTTTACACACCATACAAGTACACACACACACACACACATATATATATATTATTTTTTTTTAAATATCCTAGAGGGTAAAAACAAAGGAAAAATAAGGTTTCACCCTAAGCGGATCGTCAGGGAAGTTTGGCTCTTCCTTCCCTGACAATCCGCTTTGGTGAAATCTTGGTAGGTTTTTCAATAGTTAAATTTAACTAGAAATTAACTATAATATATATATATATATATATATATATATATATATATATATATATATATATAAGGGTCATGAAAAAATAAAAGACTATCTAGTTTTGGTTCGTTCTATGGAGATTTTTTTAAAGAAATAAGCCCGATGATAGATCCAATCTTGTTCCCTAAGCAACTAAGTCGCTTATGACTGGCAGAGAAACAACATTTCTTTTAATTTCCTTCTCTCACTCTTTTCGTCTTCTCTCCCTTTCTCTCTCACTCTTTCTCACCCTCTTTCACACACGCACACACACACACACACGTATAAATTATATTTTAAATAAAATGTTACGTACAGTGGAATTATATAAGTATAGGATTGGTGTATATGGCATAAATCTCAATAACCAAAAAATACTATTCTTAAAAGAGTTCTCAATACAGAGTAGAGCAAATATAATTATTTATTCGAAAATTATAACATAAATATGTTATAAAATCACTACAAAAATAGCCATTTTGTTTCAACATTTCTAGTGTCTTATCAAGTGAGGAGGTTGAATATTAAACAACTACTACGCAATACAGAATATTTCATTTTAAAATGAATAAAATAATAATCTTTATTCGAAAGCTTATGGCCATATCATTTTAAAATACCATGTCCCGTACGATCACCGAAGTTAAGAAACGTCGATACTGGTCAGTATGTTGATGGGTGACAGCTTGGGAATACTAGGTGGTGTAGTGGATAAAGCCTCGGAATTGTTAATCTGATAGCCGAGTTCCAACAGAAGTTAGATTCGTTATATTTACTAACGTACAAATTCCCTTGGTAAAGGTATGGATCCACTGCTTCTTCCCCCAGCTATGAGTTAATTAGTAAGACTTGTATCACTAAATAAAAAAAAACAAAAAAAAACACACAAACCAATCAATCGGAAACTAAAATAAAATGCTTCCTTAAATGCCATAGTAAAAATAATAACAATTACGAGTATCGTAACCCATTAGGTTTGGGGAGTATCACATGTGCCCCCAGCCATAGCCGCAGGGTTGTCTTGGGCAAGCTAGCATCTCCAAGCCAGTTTGAATTTAGGATTGTTCTTCTTCTAGACTGGATGTCAACCAAGGCTATAGTACCGAGCCTGTCTTGCTATTTACCCATAGATTGAGTGAAAAGAGGTGGATTCATACCTTTACCAAAAGAACTCGATTGAAATTCGAACCCGGTTCTTCGATTTTCTGTTTCGCGCCACTGTTCACTGCACAACCGGCGCATCCATAGCAATAAAAACCATAGTGAAATAATAAAGGCGAATCATTTTTTTGTTGTTGTTTTTGCTTTTGGTTTTTTTTATATGAATTCCAATCTCAGAATAAAAATTCTATTTATATTTGTGTTTCCAAATCGACATCAGGGAAACACAATCCATTACTTCCGAAAAAAAAAAATGTAACGTCAAAAGAAAGAAGCTCAATCAATATAAAGGAGCGGTCAGTTTGGGATTATTCAAAAAAGCGCCCCAAATCCGAGATATTTGCGGTCGAAGTTTCTATGGTTTTTATTGTCCTTTTTTTTTTTCCTTTTTCTGCTGTTGGCAGCTGTATGTTGGCCTTTTACGGCAAAAGATGACAAAGAGGCTTTCTTTGCGTGGTTTGAAATATCCATTTGGCTGAAAGCATCAGTGGTCAGTGGCATTGAAGGAAATACAAATTCAAAACTTATCCATTTCGAAAATGATCTGAGAGATACCAAAAAAGTCCCACGCACACACATAGATAGACAGATAGATAGATAGATAGATATGAAGAGAACGAGATAGATAGATAGATAGATAGATAGATAGATAGATAGATAGATAGATAGATGTGCGTTTCCGATATAGATCCACTTTTCTAATATAAATATCGCTCACTATATTTTTTCGTAATGCCAATTGCAAAATCTTGCGCAGATTTCGTGAAAGAGGTTCATTAAGTGAGTGGCTTCTTTAAGAGGACATAACTCCAGCAGCTGTTTTACGCTCTGAGCTTCTCTTCCCCTGTGATGTGCCTGTCAAAAGTTTGACAGGAAAGCGGGAAACGAAAAGAAAAAGGAACGCTGGGAGGAGGACAGCGGCGACTGATGCAATCGGCATTAATAAGCAAATCCATCTTATATTTTGGCTTCTTTTTTTCTCTCCTGATTAATTATTTCGACAAGTTCGGATGTTAAATCACAACAAAAAATGTCCAATGAGATAGTTTAGATATTTTTATCTGATTATGCTATCATGCCCGTATACAGGCCATGATCGGAATTATATTTGTATCTAGACACACAAAAACACACACACACACATAAATATGCACACACACACGCATTTATGTATATATATATACACACACACATATATATATATATATATATATATATATATATATATATATATATATATATATATATATGTATATGAGTGGACATCGAAGGTCAATACCCAGCGGCGACAGTCTATTTCATACGTAAACGCAGTCTTCTGGCCTGAAGATTGTGTTCAAGTATGAAACAGACTTTGGCCGCTGGATGTTTATCACAATGTCCAATTTTACATTTACATACGCTCTAACCCTGATATTAAGCGCTTTAAGTTATAAATATTATATACCTTAAAAGTATAATGCTATGTTTATATATATATATATATATATATATATATATATATATATATATATGGTGCGATGGATAAATTGTCGTCTAAATGCGCACAAATGAAAATAGTGCTGACATCTCATTTTAATAGATATTTTTACTAAAACTACACAAAAAATATCTTGAAATGCTAAAGAGTCAATTTATTCAATAAAATCGTCATTGGCTTCAACCACGGCTTCCAGTCGACTTCGGAACCTCCTGCATCTCTTCTGGACGGTCTCTTTGTTCAAGTTGCTGAATCGCCTTTAGTTCATCTTTGTTCTAACAATGGGTTTTCTTGGATTCTCACTCAACTGCGTCCCACACATAATAATCAAGGTCTTCAGAGTGGGGAGTTGGGTGGCCAGATACAAAGGTGAGGTGGGGATGTGATCACATAAATTGTCTGACAGACATGACTGGGTCACCTGCCTGTGTGGCTTGGTGAAGACATGGGGTCTTCCAGCAACCACACTCTTGACGCAGGGCAGCACCCCCTCCTCAAGGCATTTGATGTAGGCCTCCATGTTAAGTTTGAGGCCCTCGCCAACAAATTCGGGATTGTTTTTCTTTTCAGAACGATTAGAGTGAGTTTCCCGAACTTTCGTACCTTTGTAATCACCATTAGACTCGTCCAATTCTTTCCGAATCCTCTGCACTCTCCTCAGATGTCCGTATTAGAGTTTCCGGCGGGAATGCCAAGAAGTACAACATGCCGTTTCCAAGATTCTGGCAGAGGGAATTGCGTCATGGTGCTTTTTTTTTCTCGCAAACGGTGGCCAACTGACCTTACGATACTGTGCAGTCGAAAAAATCAAAAACAAACAACACGCATGCGTGAATGTAAAATATAAAATGGTGACAATTTACCCATCGCACATATATATATATATATATATACATACATACATATATATATATATATGCACACACAAATTTACATGCACATGCTCCAAGTTATCGGGAAGGCCAAGACTGACTGCATTTCCCAATTCCCATCGATAGTGCAAATAATCGATTTTTTTCATACTTCTACGGCAGTTTTCATGTAGTTTACGGCCATTTTCTACTGGTCAGAGTGAGATCCTATAGCTGGCTGCCAAGAATAGGCAGGAAGATTCTACTGGCCAGCGTGAGAGCCAACAGCTGACTGACACGAATGTTAACTAGCATGCAAAAAAATTCGATAGCTGCATTCGTCAGAAATGGGAAAAATTTAAATCTGCATAGCACTTTACTCCAAATGGCTCATTCGCTTGCTTAAACACAACGTTGGTTCAGATTCCGCAGAACTGGGTTGGGTGTGAAAAAGTATTTGTTGTTAACATTCTTTTTTCATTCGGATTTTCCAGTTACGAGTCCTTTTTTAAAGCTGATGGTTTTGTGTTCATTTTGTTTAGTTCTTTTATCGTAACAGATTTAATGTTTAGTATAGAGCTTAGAAAAAATTCACAGTGTGAGATAGGCAAGACGTAAGGCATGTAGCAACATCAGCACGGCAAAAGGCACTCCTTTAAAGGCAAGGAAGGGCAAAAATATTTTAAGTCAAGTGATAGCGATTGCTGTATGAGCCGTACGATTTTTGAATCAAACACAGGCAATATTTTAAAGAAAAACAGACCACTTTAAGGTTCCATTATAATAATTTATTTCACCAAAGCCCTTTTAAAGGACGCCGGGTCATCAGATAGCTTTCAAAAAAATGAAACGACAAATGAAATTTTTCGTTTCATTTTTTGAAGAAATATCTGATGATCCGGCGTCATTTTCTTTATATATATATATATATATATATATATATATATATATATATATATATATATATATATATAGCTAAATGGTATAGTACGTCAGCTATAGGTTCGATTGCTGTTGGAGGACACATATTTTCTATGAAATTTCTCGGACATTAAGTTAATACTCTTTATAAAAAAAGAGCATTTACTTACATATTTGTCTCTATGAAAATAACGTATAAACAGAAAATATATTAAAATAATTATCGGACTTAGTCTATTTCATTATATATATATATATATATATAATGGATACTCTGGTTTCCGTGTACACTCATCGTCTAAGGTGGTTAACCAATCCCTTTTGCAGACGCCTGCTCAAGTACATT